TCAGCACTTTCACTGGATAGAGGTCGCTTGGTAAAATATCTATCCAAAGAGGTTTGGCTTTGCCTACTTTTTAAAATGTTTCTAAAATGACTTAGGCAAATGTCATTACTCCGAGCAGCAATACGGCCATTGTAAACCTTTTCGCGGTGTTTCTTTTCAATAAAATCAGTCACTTTCTGATAATACCTCAAGATTTCCTTTATCGAGCGAGATCCTTCCACAACGAAGCAAACACGCGGACTGAGATCAACGAACAGAAGTGAATAAAAAATGGCGCTGCGAACTAATGTAACGTCGTATGGTGAGTTTTTGTTCGTATCGTGGAGCAAAAATACTGTATGTTCGAATTTCATGTCGTATCCTGAAAATTTCGTATGCTGGGTCGTATCCTGAAAATTTCGTATCCTGAGGTACCACTGTATATTTATTTTGATTTTATTCAAATTAAGCCGATAATAGAAGCCTTTGTTCAAAGTTATATTTCTGCGCCGTCATAAAATACAAGTTGCAAATTAAAATGAAATTTTTCTTATTTATTTATTATATAAATATAATACATACGTATGTGTATATAAAAATTTATTTAAATATGAATATTTGAATTAATAACGTTGGTGCGCATTTCTTTGTTTATTTAAAGTGGGCTGCAATTTGAAAAAATTGTACACCTATAAATTCCCACTGTCGTCGTCCGTCTATCCGTCTGTTTCCTTAACCCCTTAATCTCGAGAACTGAGTTAGATACGTGAAAATCAAGACCAAATATAAACAGCTTACGGGCGGGATGTCCAGATGAATACTTTTTGAATTATGTAACTATACATAATTCAAAAAGTTTTCCCCTGAGAAGTTAGATAATGACCGACAGGAGTCTGTTGATTACTATATTTACAGTATGAAAAATTATATTTTTTTTAGTGCACTATCGGCCGCCCGCGTGCATGCATGCACTGCATACCTACCAAAATCGGCCCTGAATGGAATATCGTGCGTTTCAACAATATGCTGAAAAATTTTTAAGACTGCTCTGTGGGTTTTTAACCACTCGGCCATCCGCTCTCTAGGTACTAAGAAGGCCTTTTATCAGCCCAATCTGGGTTTAGCCAGACTTACAATGTGGCCAAGTGATGAAGGAAGTGGTCCGATATATTCTTAATATTTATTCAAAATGTTTTATGACAGAATTATTATATTGATTTCTACAAATCATAATGTCTGCTATGTTAATTAATAAAATTAATAAAAATAATTATGTATTACTTTCATCAAATATTATAAATAAATATTTCACTTTTTAAAATGAAATTATAAAACATTTAATTCCGATTAATTTATTTCTTTTTACTTTATTAACAATTAAAGTCCCAATGGTAAGATTTACTCTCCGAATAAAGGGGTGGTGACCCTCCAAACTGTAGCCCCCTGTGCGAACAATAAAGTCAAAGGAACCATAACCTACGCGTGACCCTTCGCGAGATAAGCCCGTGAAAATTCGCCTACGTCATTTCCGGTCACTTGACATCGTGGTCAAAAGGGACCGCGCAAAAACAAACTAACGCGCGCTCGTGCTCACTCGGGGGTCGCCGACCCGCTCATTCGCAGGGTAAATTGTCAAACGCGGTCACGTGACTCGTAGAATAATTTTCGGAAGGCTATATCTCGGGAAGGGTCACGCTTAGGGGTATGGTTCATTAGACATTTATTGTTCGTACAGAGGGGAGCGGTCGCCACCCCTTCATTCGGAGGGTAAATCTTACCGTCTCAATCGCGTCATACGAATCTATATTTCTACCTATTAAACATTCTATAAATACTTTAAAATAGTTTAATTTGTTTATTTACCTTCGCTTGTAAACCTCTATTTTAAACGTATCCGCCATTTTTTCAACAAATTTCCCGTGAGTGAATGCGCGACGTTCGGGATGTTGTAAAAGTGCGGCGCAAGTTTAATCAAGGCATATAATAATTATTTATACCACTTCGTGGTATAAATAATAAATTCCTATTACAAATAAAAATAATTTATTGTTAATTTAAAAGTTAAAAGCCCCTAGTGCCCGTTTTTGGCATACCGTTACGCGGACAGATGGATACCCGTTCAATGGGTTATATATATAATAGATTCGACAAGAACCGTAGTACAGTAGTAACGGAAAAGAAACATAAAACGGTTACCACAACAGCGTTTATGTGATGAAAGTTCAAAGGTCGTGTTACAAATTGCCGTCTACTTCAAAGTGTGAGAAGATATTCGGCATTGTGGTGGTCGTCACACCACTTGATTGTGTTCGCTGAATATATGAATAGAGATCGTAGTCATATATCTCCTATTTACTTTATTCACACTATATACAAAGAAGTCTCGTCTACCTAACGGTCGGTTGATTGGAATCCACGTGTACATGTGAGCAACCCAAGAGTAGCTGACAAGTCGGGAAGTAGTATGGCGGACGGCCTGCACATGGTTATATATGCGTCGCGCCAGCGCCACCTGGATTTTCAGGTGTAGCGCTAGTTACAATTATGCGGCCGCCACAGGCATTCTGGCATTTATGACGTCATTTATTGGATTGATGCAAAAGTCCGTCCCGTTTTTAGCACCAGATGGTTTTGCATCGCAACACCGAAGTGTCATTTCCAAAATTTTCTGCAATAAAAATACAGGGTCACCCTACTGACCTCCTCTGCATTGCTAACAGTACCATTGGTACTATTATTACATACACCATCCCCAGTATAGCTACCCTTACCAAGACACAGCTCCACACCTTAGAGACTATTCAAACCCAATACATCAAACTCAGTCTGGGTCTTCCCATCTCTACCAGCAACACCACAACACCGTTACACTCCGCGCCGTAAATAAAACCTCCCTCGATTGCCGCTTCCACAAATGCATCATTAAACAATACTGCATCTACGTCAAGAAAGCTACTTCAGACCTCTTCCATTCCATTATTCAGAACATACACAACAATTCAGGCGCCTCCCTTGTCAAGATACCATTCATTCACTTCACCCGCTCCTGGCTTCTCCTGCACAACGTTCAACCATCCAATCTTCCGTTAAAGTCGTCCAACATCACCAACGCCTCCAACCACAACATCCATCTCGAAGACCTTGCCTTCCAAAATTACAATCTCCCGGACACTTTCATCCAACAGTTCTTTAAAGAATGGGAGGCCCACAAAATATCAACACCATTGTTGCCACAGATGGGTCGAAAACCTCCAACACCGTGACAGCGTCACGGCTCACTTCTCTCTCCACCCTAAGGCCACGATTTTCATTGCGGAAGGATATGCAATCCTTCAGGCAATCCATCGTGTTACCCACAAAAAGGCAGATGCCATCATTTGTACAGACTCGAAATCGGTTCTTAAGGCTCTCCACGCTCAACATGATAAGTCCCCAACCTTAATCCAAATCATTAACTCCATCAAGTCCGACAACGAGAAACATATGAACAACAGATGAAACATCTACCCCAAAAACTATCTCTACCCTTGGTTTTCTAACACATCAGATATTTCTATTCCTGACATCACTGACCGTCGCATCAACGTCCTCATCAACCGCACAAGAACCAACTCTTTGCTTACGAACCACTTTCTTTATACCCGCAACACCTGCACCACAGACTAGTGCAAATACTGCCCAAACAAAACAGACACAACCACACACCGCCTCAACGAGTGTCCAAAATTCGACATCAGGGGAAGAATCCTTTTCAACAACAGTCTAACAAAAAATCATCATCTCAATATCAGCGACTGCCTTCAATCCTTATCGATCTTTTTTAATGAATACAAAAATACCTACAACTACTAAATCAATTTAACTTTTTCTCATCTCTCATTATGTCTGCCAACGGTCGATAAACAGTTAACTCATCCACCCCGACATGCGTACTGATTTTACCAAACGTTTCTTCTAGACCTTTCAAGTTTTTCAACTTGAGATCGCCATGTTTCTCAATCCAATTCCACTCACTTGGAATAACTACACGGAGCGAAATAGCCAAAGTAGCTAACGCCTAACTTCACCGCCAGAGGGCGGCAAGCAAGCAAACGTCATTTCCTTCACGTGTAAAATCTTGATGTTTCACAAAAGGGATTTTAGCTAGTATTTGAGAATAAAGTTGTTTTTTTTTTTTAAAATTTTATTAAGCATTAAAAATAGCAGAAAATAAGGAGCATTTTCGACATATTATGCTTTTTTATTTCCGAAAAGGCAACAATGCTTCGCAGACGCATAAGATATTTTCTGTGTACGGTGAGGGAGTCATTGCTGATTCCACGTGGCGTAAGTGGTTCAGAAAGTGGTTCAGTTCGTGAAAACAATTTTAATCTTAGCGATACACCATGTTCTGGACTATCAGCCGAGGCTGATAGCATTAATTGAAAGTGATGGACATAAAACAACTAGAGAGATCTGAGAAATTCTTGGAATCAGTCAACAGTATCAAGGCGATTACATCAACTTGGAATGGTTAGCAAGGCCGATGTATGGGTGCCGCATGACTTAACGGAAAAAAATTTGATAGACCGAATTTCTGCTTGCGATTTTCTATTGAAGTGCAATGAAATCCATTTTTAAAGCGGATGATTATAGGTGATGAAAAATGGATTGTGTATAATAATGTTAAATGTAAAAGATTATGGTTTAAGCATGGAGATGCCCCTTCAACCAGCACAAAAGCCAGTTTACATCTGAAGAAGGTTATGCTATGCATTTGGTGGGACTGGAAGGGAATCATTTATTATGAGCTGTTATCTGAAAATCAGACCATTAATTCAGAGAAATACTGTTTACAACAAATTAAAGCGAGCAATTGACCAGAAGTGACCTGAATTAGCCAACAGAAAAGGCACTGTGTTCCATCAAGACAATGCTAGATCACATGTTTCTTTGGCCACCCGACAAAAACTTTTACAACTTGAATGGGATGTTTTGGTCCATCCACCATACTCTCCTGACCTTGCACCAGTTTCTTGGTATGTAAAAAACACCAGGGCTCTTGTGTTTTTTACATAATATACTGTATTGTACAGTACATACCTATACGATGTTTATGCATGCTATCAACAATGTGAGTTACTCATGCTCAGAAATTTCTAGTTATATCCTTGGATATTTATTAACTGTTCATAATACATGGTTTCTGATAATTATTCACCCTTTTACATAACTTCATAAAAATTACACCAGTAGAGATAGAAAAAACTGATTGCAGCAGATAATAAAGCAAATTGAAAAATGTTAAAAAACTACCATTTATTTAGATTGCTTCAAAACAGCTTAAATGGTAAAAACTTTACTTCCTTGGAAGACTTGAAAAATCATCTTGATCAGTTTTTAAGCCAGAAATCTCAGAACTTCTATGAGCACGGGCCTATGCATCTAGTGGAGTATGGAGAAAGGTCATCGAACAGAATGGCACATACCATATATATTAAATATAATTTTTAGTACATAAAATTTTTCTCTAATTCTTTTCAAAAAATGGGGCAAACTTTTGTATCAATCCAATATGATCTTAACAGCTTTGTGGTGGCTTAGGTGTAATTCTTTTTATGAATCATTTATTGAAAAAAGCAAAAATGTTTGAAAATTACACTTACTTGACAACTATAAAGACAAATTCCTATAAATTAAATCAATATAAAGAAATTGCTTTTTGCCCTTGGTATCATTAAATTAATTAAAAATCTACTAATGTGAGGTAGATAATCTATTACATCTATTAAATGATGAAATCTATAGACTTAACATTGACATCTGGTTAAAAAGGTGTTGGAATGAAGGTTGGCCATTAAGATATTAGTCACCACTTGTTCTCCAGATGTTGCCTGTACCACACCTCCCTCATAACTGCTCTGCATCTTGTAGTAATGCCATCTTTAAACTCCATCTTACTACTGTTATAGTATGTAGATATAATTCATTTTGTAAAATTATTACCCTATTATTCCACTAACTTTAGTACTGTTTATAATAGTAACCCTTACGTCAAGCTACTGTGTAACATTATGAAGCCACCTTAAGCCTGTCTTCTCTACACCCATTTATTGTTCAATGTTCATACCTTTATAACGGTTCCTTTGTCTTGTATAATTTTAAGTATTATAATCTTTTTATATGTATACCAACTGAAGAGGGACTATTTTGATTGTCCGAAATGCATTTTGGTTATTTCATGTTAATTACTAATGTAATCAATTTTAATGTACACTCCTTCTCGTTTTTATTAAATGTATTCCATTGATACCTGGATGTTTGTGCTTAATATGACTGGTGTGATAAGTCCTTATTATATACCTCACATTAGTAGATTCCTATATAAATTTTTATTAGTTGCTTAGATCATAAATGCAAGAATATCAAACATATTTTCCATCCCTTGAAGTGGCTAGCAAATTGCCTTAACCCTAAGCTATTTGGCTATACAGCACTGACGACAATGGATGGAGTGACAATTGTAATGTCATCTAGACGTAGAATTCTTTTTTATAGTAGTATTGATGACAAGAGATGGAGTGATGACTTTTAGAGATGGCTAGTAGTTGTATCTGCATCCAGAGCCCCCAGCTTCTTTTTGCCCCCTTAGATTTATTCACCGCCCACACAGGGATGATAGCATCCACTTTGGGAACCGCTGGTTTAAACAAACACCATGTAGGAGGCATTTTCAGAGCAGCATTCCGCATAACGGAGCACCACTCTAAGGAACATTTATAAGAGTATATCTTTAACTGTACTGTACATTGCTGTCCAGAACACATGGGAACAGAGTAATTTTGCTACACTATGCTATTTGATGAGATTTCGTGAAACCTTCCATTGGTCAGTTTTCTAATAAATAGATGGTTAAGATTTCTTACAGAATCATAATTAACAGGTTTTATTGGACACACATTTGAGAAGCAATCACATATTAAAAAGACATCATAAAATATATGTGAACAAACAGTGCAAATGACATCAATATATGTCCTCATGAAGATTGTTGTATTGATTTTATAGAAAAAATCAATTCAAATGTTGAAGACATCAAACTGAAGCTACAACAAATTAGTTTGACTACAGTTAATTTAGATTCTGAAAGGTTTTCTGAACTACTTGTTGAGTTTGGTACTGGATCATTGATGTACTACAGCTGTTCATCATAGCAAATTTTTAAATAGTCATTGTCACAGAGCATAATGAAGACATCAACATGAGCCTATTTGATACCACTTGATATAACTCACAATATAGTAAATTTTAGATATTCAGGGATGTAGCCACAAGGCAACATCCCTAATGACATTTCCTACACTAATACCTGGTGGCAAGGGATGGATGGCATTTCCCACCTAATGCTCTTCCATCCCTCACTCTGCCAGCCCCCATACAAGCTTAAAAGTAAACATGTAAAAAAGTCACAACGTAGTTGACCACTGAATGAAACAGAAAACAGGCACATCAGACACAAATACTAGGCTACTTGAACAGCCATTAGATAAAGAATAAAATTTAATACTTATGCATTTATTTATTTTTATTGAGCATTGTCATATATATTACTGATTTGCATATGATATGCAAGGAGCTATCTTACTGATACGGCAGTCTTTGCACAATAATATGTTGCTAGTGATCTTGCGGCTCTTGTGTTTTTTACATAATATACTGTATTGTACAGTACATACCTATACTATGTTTATGCATGCTATCAACAATGTGAGTTACTCATGCTCAGAAATTTCTAGTAATATCCCTGGATATTTATTAACTGTTCATAATACATGGTTTCTGATAATTATTCACCCTTTTACATAACTTCATAAAAATTACACCAGTAGAGATGAAAAAAACAGATTGCAGCAGATAATAAAGCAAATTGAAAAATGTTATTTTCCCTCAATAAACCTTAACATGTGCACTGTTTGTTGCATGAACATGTCCAATGTTTCTCCAAGTGTTCCTGATCATGTCAATTGAAATTGTCCTGATGCCTTGAGATGTGTTCCTTCAATTCCTCCATGCTTGATATCTTTTTTACATACACCCTATCCTTGACATACCCCAAAGGAAAAAAATCAAGAGATGTCAGATCGGATGAGCAAGGATTCTGAGCAATGGAACCTCCTTGGCCTATCCATTGATCTGGGAAAGTTGCATTGAGATAACGCCAGACTTCCTTTTCTCAGTGCGGAAGTGCCACGGATTTGAACCCAAGTCTAGAGTGGAAGCTGACACTTTTATTGTCTCATAATCCAGTGAGAAATGAACTGATGATTGCAAAACTCAATTTGAGTTTTTTTTAAAACATTAATGCATAAACAATTACCAAGTATGTATATATATATAAATATAATGACCCATCATGGCTTTTTAATCATATCCATTATGGGTTAGGCCATGACCACAAGGGATGGTTGTGTGATGAGAAATGGGTTCTGACATATCTGAGATAGACCTGACCAAGACAAACTGTTAAGGTTCTTGACTTGGACTCAAATCTTGGTCCTTGGTTTTACTGTCTCAACCATCCAATTGTCAAAAATAAATATTAAGAAAACTTAAAATAATTGTAGAAATTCACATAGTACCTGAAATAACAGAATGTATCATATCAGGATGGAAACTAAATGCTTACATTCCTCACATAATACATCAAAGATTTGCACACTAACACAAATTATTGTACTGTACCATGAGATACTATATTATTGTAAATACACACTAAAGATAGTGTTAGAAAACAACACATGCAAAATGTACTATGGCAGAACTATAATAATAGATAAAATAATCTTAACAGACTAAACATCAATTCATTGACAAAAAGACATATTATCATAGCATATCAATTCCAAGCTCCAACAATGTATGAAATATCTATATTAGTAAAATCAATAGGCATATAAAATTCCTTAAGAAATAAGCACATGTAGAAAATGGATAAGATATTTATTGTATTTATAGTTTTCTCTTCCACAAATGTCATACTACATATACTATACAAAACTTTAGAAAACATTAAATCACAATTACAAAATTTACACAACATTACAGAAAGCAACAATGTTAATTACATATATTGTCACAGTGCTGGCTTGATGGTAAGTTGTCCGAGGCAAAACCAATTTTCGCCACTCTTGCAACACAGAACAGTTGCCAATAGAGAACACTTTGAGCACTGACACTCTTGTATAAACTTTAATAAACATTTACTATATTCAACTTATTTTTATTTTGTTCTCCTTTTCAACTTTTTGACTGCTCATTTTGCCATCCTTCTCACTTTGCCTCATTCCCTCATCTATCAAGCCAGCCCTGTTGTCACATAGGAACTTAATTTTTAAACATTGATATGTGCACTAACAGCATACAAAAATGATAAAACTATTATTTGCAGTAGCTATGACTTTGACAATAGTATTTGGCACCATATCAATTGATTTTTTGTATTTATATCACAACAACAACAACAANTATTGTGACATTGTCACAATGCTGGGCTGCAACTTTTAATCATATTTTTAATTTATTTAATTTAAAATATATGTTATCCACCTAAAATTAGTACTATAGTGTCTTGCCCCTGTACATCATACTTTTCCTTTAGCAATGGAGTTGTGCTGATCATCTATCTAACTCCTTTCAGAAAAAAATTTTTGAATTAAAGTAACATGACTTCTACAGAAGCTTGTATATAGTTAGTTGGGGCTTCTTAAGTTTTCCATATCTGGATTTAAAATTCATTTATCTAACACCATTCTTGAGATTAAGGAAAGATGGATGGACAGACAGATGACAGTGGGAATTTACAGATCTACAATTTTTGCAAATTGTAGCTTGACAATACATGCAGGGATTATTTATTTTCCTGCATAGATAGTTTATAAAAATTAATTGAGAGGAAAAAATTTAAAATCTTTAAAAGTTTTATGCTTATTTAATGTTTTCTGTCTTTTAGATACTATAACTTATGGATAAAAGAAAGTTACAAAAATAGTACAGATAACCTAACCTAAATAAAATTTTATTTAGTTTTTTTAGAAATGATTTGTTTTTTAATTTTACTTAAAATAAAAAAAATATAAATTTGTTATATAATTTAACTTACTATATATCTTCATAAACATCGGTGCAATTATCTGGTACTAATACTGTTTCAAATATAAGAATAGGGTGGCAAATTGTTGTTAATGTCAACATACTTCCGTAAATACAAGCTATAAACATTGCCAGAAGACCAATAATAAATGTGCGATGATTCTTTGCACCAATGCAAGTATCTAACCTATAGGAAAAAGTATTACATTTTTAATTTATTAATTGTTAATGTTACATGAATAAGGAAGGAATATATGAATCTGTTCAGGTAAAAAATGAACATTTCTTTTTTACTAAAAATAAAATCATTATATACAACTATAATACATGCTGTTGATAACATACAATCATTATCAGTTATCGTTATTGATCTTAACTAATGTTAAGCATTAATTGTTTTAACCATTATTTGCTTGCAATAAAGTAGTTTAAATTGTTAGCATTTCTTCCTTAAATTATATAATTGTCCATTGTGGTAAACATTAGCAAGCAAACAATATCTGATGAATTATATATTAATTAATATTAATAATTACAGTGGAACCTCTGTATACGATCTTAATCAGTTCCTGATTTTTGGACTTATACCAAATAGAATGTATACCAAACCAACCATAAGAAGTAATGTAAAAAAGTAAACAAATTTCCCATAAGAGAAGTAATGTAAAAATGATTAATCCGTTCTCATGTAAAAAAAATGGCTGGCTTTAAACACCTCGCTTTCCTGGTTAGTTCCTGCTTGTTTTTTCATGAGATCAGCATGTATCTTTTTAGCTTTCTCAAATAATTGCTTCTGATACATTGTTGCCAGCACACTGTTTTTCAGTTATCCAAAGCAAAAGCAATTTCTCAACATGATCTAATGTCTTCGATCTCTGTTCAGAAATTGATTTAACCCCTTTCACAATGTTAGCAGATTTAATAATGTCTTTATTTTTCACAACTGTTGATATCATCGTTCTTGGAAGATGGTATGCAACAGTTAAATCTTGAACACGCATGCCACCTTCATATTTCTCAATAATCTCTTTTTTCAGTTCCATTGTGATTCTAGTCATTTTTTTAGTTTTCTGTTGCTTTTCATTTGCCTTTTTGCAATTCATGATTAATAAAAATAATAAAATTTTACTTACAAATTAAAATCAGAAGAAATTTAACAAAGTTATAAACCATGGTACTGCGAACATCTAGTCTGGTCTAGTACACCGATATTGCTACTTGTTCATAGATGGTGCGTATAATTGAATTAAGTCATATACCGAGCAAAATTTGTTTCATCCAAACAGGATATATTCTAAAGCAGATGTATACTGAGATACCACTCTATAAGTAAATGGCTAACTTGAAGATTATTTTTAAGTTGTTTTAACATGTTCTTTTAATATCAGAGGAAATAAAAGCAGAATTTCCAATAATTATAATGTTATTTGCTGTAATGGTGTGTACCCACCAAAGATTGCTAGGAAAAAAATTAAAATGTTACATAACTGGTATGCATTTTGGTCTTAAAACCCTCTTCAGCCATACATGAATAAACAGTTATCTATAATCAATGATAGGTGGCATTGGAGTTATGAATCTGGGGTCCAAACCTGTTCTATTATTGGAGAACAGTATCTTAATATGCTAATGACTTTTTGATCCCAGAGCTTCAACAAAGCCTTCAAGATACCATATACATGAAAGGTGGTGCATCATCCCACATTCCTCACTCTGTTCAACATGTATTAAGGCAGATTTTCATAGATGAACTTGTAATCAGTCATTACTTCCCAATAGCTTGGCCTCCTTGTTCACATGATTTTACCCCATATGACTTCTGGCTTTTTTGAAAGACCAGGTGTATTGTGAAAGATGTGCATTTGTGTTAGATCTAATGGACAGAGTTCATTGGCATATTCTTGTGATTAAAGCAGACTCATTGCATTCAGCAGTGGAAAACATGCTTTTATGAATGGAGCACATATTGAACATTTGTAACCATGATTTGTATAGCTCCAGCACCACCTATCAGTGACTTCTTGTACAAAAAATTTTTACTTAATAAATAGCAAGTGCATCATCTAAAGTACCTGTTGTCCAAATGTTTCATTTCAAGCAATAGAACTCTCTCCACAGCCTTCTAAGTTGAGGAAGTTTAATTTCAACAACCCTTTACAGTACATCAGACTAACACACTTCACATTACAATTACCATTGGTTACCATTCTTACTGAGGGTGCTGTTAATAATATCCATAAATTGCTACTGAGTGAGTACTGATTGTACTGTACCTGCCCTGATTGTACCCTGAACTAATTTACCATAAAATGATGTATCTATGTAAGTAGAACTCCAAAGTTTTAATCAGTATTGTTTAATATTTTATGTAACTCAAATAAGTTTTAAAATATTTTAGATCTGTGTTATAATAAATGTTTTTAAGTAATGAGTATTGTGCTAAGATATAGATCTAAAACAGGTCAGTTGAAAAATTTGTAATGGAATTTTAAACCTTATTGTTAATACTTTTTTTTATAATTTTACATTGATTGTAGATAATTATCTATTCATGTATGGCTAGAGTCCTTAAGGACTAAAACATATACCAAAAACAAAGTTGCATTTTAATGAAAGGAATGTCATTTCCTATCCTCAGTAACAGTGTAATGAGTTTCCTTTATCAATATTAATAGTGACAAGAAGCTTTAATATATAATTCAAAGTGGAATAAAATTATCAGTCCACATAAAATTATCCATTTTACCAGTCCACAATGAGAAAAAGGTTGAGAAACACTGGTTTAGAAGGTATTGTCTCAGAATCCAGATTTTTCCTGATTCTTTCATTTTATTTTCATTAGCAATTCATTGAAGATTTAATTATAAGAAAAATAGAAAAACAAAATATTTGAGATGGAGCCACCTAAGATGCTGTGTTAAAAATATAAAATAACATGAAGAGTAACATTTTTTTCATTGTTTTGCTCATTTATCAAATAATAATAAAATACTCAGAAACTTGCCCATAAAGTAAAGAGTTTGTGGAGAATGGATGAGGTATGAACTGTGCAATAGGCCTTTCTTGCACAGTTGTCATATAATATGTACTACACAAAAGTCTTGAAACATTAATACTTCTCAGATACATACACAAACAGCATGTAAATAAAACATTTGTTTTCTGTAGTTATGCATTGACTTTGGTCTGGCATAGAAAAAATCAATGTCACATTTCACATGCTTGCCATCTTTTCGTTGGAAAAGTATGATATTAAAACCACAATTTGCAAGATTTCTTGGTCTATTCAATATGCTGAATTAAAATTTTCAATTTTATGATAAAATTTAACATTTAAGAAGGGTAGGCTTAGCCTCAGAAGCCTCTTAGTCACTGGAAATGACAAATTTATAGCAAAGATATTGGATACTGGCACTAACGCATACATAAACTTTGAGAAAGTTTGTTTTCTATCTTTGTATGTATAATATATATTTTGAGACCCAAGCATTGCAATTGAATGCTTAGATTTCAAAAAATTATTAATTTTTGTGTTACCATCAGCATAAATAAACATAAGTTGAATTTCTGGTCTATGTCATCATATGTAATACTGTTACCATAATAACATATATTCAATATTCATAACAAAAAAATTCTAAATAATTGATCTTATTTATAATGTAATAGAATGAATCACTGGAATATACAAAAGAATGAACAGTAATGCTTGTAGATGGCCACCTGAACCTGTTGTTAACCTGAATGGAAACATTCACAATCTACAAAGTTTTGCATACTGCTACAGATATGTTCATTTACTTATTTATGTATTATATTTTATTTATTAAATTCAAATATTCCATTTGATGCAAAAATCCCATTTAGCTTCAACCTAAAAGCATAAAAACATTTAATAATTAATCGATAATTAAATAAATATAATACATCTCAAAGCCCGATTATTTAGGCGTTTGTTGGTTTGTTAAATATTTTTATAAATTAACCTGTAAACATCAGATACTATTGAATGCATTTATCTCATTTTTCATCATTAAAAAGAAATAGAATAAAATTAGAAAAACTTACCAGATACAATGATGGTCTCTTCTTAACACACAATGTCCACATAAGCGACAGTGACCACATCTAGCAGGCTGAACAATATTACATATACCACATTTTGATGATTCTTCTATATTTATGAGTGTTTGTTCATTAGTTCTTAAATATTCTATATCAGACATTGAAACATTTGGATTTTTAAGAATTCCATGATTAAATTTTACAAAGTAACCGCATAAACACATAATAGATACAAAGCACATTAAAACAAAATTTTCAATAAATAATATTTCTAAATAGGGAACTACTTCAAATTCAAATACACATAATAAAAACACAAGGCTTGAAATAGTCCAGCTAAGAAAAAATTTGGTCCTAATTTGATGTTTCAAACATTTTATTTGAATCATAATTAAAAATATTGGTAAAAATATAAATGTAATTATAGTCCATAACCATCCTTGAGCAGCAATTATGAAAATAATAGGAATAAGAATTGTTGGTATTATAATAGAGAACTCTATCTTTCTAGCTCCTCTCCCATCACACCACGGAATTCGGCATCTATCTGACATCATTGAACCAATTTTTATCATTAGATCAGGTGGTTGAGATTTGCATGTAATGCATCTACAATTAAAAAACATAGATTATATTTTAAATTCATAAACTAAAATATCTAATGTACAATTAATAAAATAGAAAAAAAATCTAGACTATGTTTTACATAACAGGCAGAAAAAATTTTAATGATAAAGATTAAACTCTCCCTTCCCTCTTGGAGTATGACGTCATTAATGGACAACCCCATATATAATAATATTCATTTTAATACTGTATCACAATACCATCTTGAAGGCATTTTAAGCCTAAAAAGAGGTTATAAACACTTTTTATCAGAAAAGCTTAATTTCAACTGATTTAACCATTGGGCAATGTAGTACACATTATTGTTAATACATAATGCAGCAATGTCTATTTGTGATGACATCTGATTGTTGTTTCAGACTGTGAAAATGTAATATGCCATTGATTCAAGACATACCTTTATTTCAGATAAATACAAATTGATAAAAAAGTATGTCTTAAAATCAAGTAAATACAGGATATAAAAATTATAAACATAGATATACAATTATATCAATTCTATCCAAAACATATCAAAATCTGTCGTAATTTCAATATTTAGATATAAAATAGTAAAAGTATATCACATGCATGATTACTATGCATCAGAATGACAAATTTTTTCTAATTACAAAATATACATGAGAGACAGAGAAAGACTGATGTCAAACTGTCAAAAAATAAAGCTGAATTATTTACTACTTTAGGGGAGGAACAAAATTAAAAAAAAAACAAAAACAGATACTACAGACTGTAATAGAATCTAAAAATTTGATCATTTAATAGCAGTTTTCTAGTATATAAAGATTAACTTTAAATCAGAAAGTATTACAATAAGATTACATATTTTATATTTTAGTACAGTATAAGAAAATATTTGGTTATGTAATTTATATTGTTATACTGAAAAAAATTTTAATCTGCTATTATAACTAGATTTAAAAAATTGTTTCTAATTTTATGATGATAATGTAATGAATTTATAAAATTGAAATTTCATGAAAAAATACCATTCCTAAATCAAATTAATTAAAATAGTTGATAAGATTTACTTTTCTGTTTTAGTTGATATTNGTTTCCATCTGTCAAAAATAGTTTTTTTTTTTGTTCTTTTACTATAAACTTTCACCTGAATTTTTTAAGTTTATATATTCAATACAATATGCAGTAAACTGAAACTTTTATTATATTTTGTTTTGATTATTTCAACTATTTACAAATACAATCAATAAAATTTAAGCATTTTATTGGTTATATTTGTAATCAGCTGTGCTTCAATGATATGAGATTTCTTTTTATGAATTTATTATAAATACTTATGAAAGATCTTTTGAAGAAATAAATGATGAAAAATTTCCAGAAAATTGACTTTAATTACCACAATTGTGAAGTTTGTTTCCAAAATCTGCCTACTCAAAAAAAAAAAAAAGTCAATTTTCTGTTAAGAGCCTATTCTTACTATTTCAGGCACACCAAATTCATTTCTGACAGTTATTTTTGTGTGAACAAAATTTTATCTGCTTGTTTACAAGAATTAAATATTACATTTTGTTCAAAAACCTACCTCTCAAATGTGTTTTTCATGCCAAAATCTACTAAAAAAGTAATTTAAAATCAAAATATTCAACAGGAATGCATTTTTTGCTATAGCTAATTAGCTATAGCAAACAAAAAAATAATAATATAGTAATATGTTTAATTAAGCAATAACATTTTTATTCAATAGTTGGTCTGGGTAGAGCCACTGGTTGAGATGGTGGTTACATGTAACCTACCTGTTTGGTGAATTTATTGGTCAATGGAGAGTGCAACTTTATATATAAGATAGAGGATAATTTTTTAAAACAAAAGTGGTCATATATGTTGTAAAATATAGTAAATTTGATTAGAAAAAGTTTCCATTTCTGAATTATTTACATGCACTGGCATTCCATTATTTTGTGTGGACATTAAATTAATAAATGTCAGTTTTACTCTATGTATTTACTGTTAATGCTGTCATTACTTTAATAAACATTAAGTAGGTGATAACTGAGTCACATTCATTATTTTGGCTGAAACCGAAATCTCAAGCCAAAATCTACCAAGTTCTATTTTTATTTCAAAACTTAATATGTTCAAACTAAATTTTACTTTTTCAAACTTTTCAATCATATGCAAGAAACAATAATAAAAACTCTTCAATCTTCATATATACTTAATTTTGCGCAGAGATATTATTTGTTTTGATTAATGCAATTTCTCGTTGTCAAATAGATTTTAGCCTTTCCTGTAAAAAAAAAAAAAAAAAAGCACATTTTGAACTTAGCAGATTTTGGTGACAAACATCTCAATTATAGTTTGATATACTAATCAAATTGGGACAACACTGTTCTCTAACACAGTATTAATATATTTATGCTTTACACTTTGCATTTCTTCTTTAAGTTAATTTTTGACAAACTGTCTGCAAGTCCTTAATATTATATTGTATTTTAAAAATTAGTCATCATATTTTACATTTAGATATTGATTCTATTACAATATATTTTTATACTCCTTCTTCCAAATTTGGTTTATTTGAACTTATGAGGAAGGTACCGATGTCATTTTCTGTTTTCCATCAATCACAAAGTCTTGTAAGGTTTTTTTGAGTTTTATTTGTTAACATGAAATTAATTAATTATTCTAATCTTTTATTGATATATTAAATTTATAAAAACAATTATTTTCAAAAAATTTCAATTTATATAAACAATGAACAAAATGCATAACAGAAAAGAATCAACAGATATTCTTGAAGATGTTAATACACAATAATTTTTAATTTTTATAAAAATTCTGTTAAATTGGATATACATTTCTGTAAGCTGATTTTAAAAAAGTTTGTTATTTAGTTGTTAAACAAATAGCTTTATTTATGTAAATAAAATTGATAAAAGTTGAAATCTTTGTAATAAAATGATGATAGTTTAGTTCACAATATAGAAAATTCATCAAACAAGAAATTTTTAATTAAAAAATTGAATTTTATCACTTAATAAAGTTTAATTTATTAGCATTTACATTTTAATTTTTTACATTTCTTAAAAATAATTTTGTGTATGTTCTTGAATATCTCTAGTCTCCATTTATAATTAAAGACATGATTATTATAATATATATAACTGTTTTACATCCATATCATCATCAATATTGGAAATCAAATCTATTTTTCTATCAGGATAAAAGCATTCTGTTATTTAATAAAATCTCAAATATATAACATTAATTAAAAATACAGATCAAAGGATACAGTTAAGAAATTATAAAATCATTTTTGAATATTTAATTAATTTAAAATAAAATTGACAATAATAAATTATATATTTCATATGCTCCTGTTTAATTTCAATAAGAAATACACCAAAATTGATAGCAGTTAATTATTATTCCTTTACTATAAAATCCTCTCTGCTTTCTTTTAAACTCTTGAACAGTTGTATTTTGACAAATGAGATAACTTTGTTGAATTAGAAGTAATAAAGCTAAACAAGCAATTAGTAATGCATAGAGAGCACTTACATAGCAAATGGATATACTGAAAAGAGAAAAACAAAATATTTTAAATAATATATACATTCCAAATATATCTTAATACAGTAGAGTCTCAAAAACTCGGCACTCGATAACCCGGCAGTCCGGATAACTCGGCCACACCCTGGCAGGGCAAAAAAATCCTTAGTTAATTAATTTTCATTATAGACAGCTTTATGCCTCATAAAGTATTTTTCTGAGGTCTGTCTTATCAGGTAAATTACTGTACACAGTGTATTCATTAATTTTCATTTTCATGTAGTAAAGGCTCTATGCCTTCATAAAGGACGTACTTTTCCTTTGTTTAAGGGTATTTGGGCAGTTTATTCTCTGTTGTATTCTCAAGTAAACAATACATACAAGTACAGTACATTATTTTCTGAGGAAACACTCATACTTATTTTTTTTTAACCCCATTCCCGATAACCCGGCATTTTCACAAACTCAGCCACCCTTCATCCACATTAGGCCGAGTTTTCGAGAGACTACTGTAAATAAATTTGCAAAATCAAATTGATTTTACAATACCCTATTACTCTAAATAAATTGTAACTAAAGCAGAGAATATGCATATATAGACAACATAAAAATGATATCTCTCTCAACTGTGCCATTTAATCAACTCTCTTATTATTATTTTTTTCATTTATTTTTAATAAACTTTTCATAATGAAACTGCTAATATCTGATACCTTGATGATGACATTTTCTGTCAAAATTAACAGGTTTTAATTATTATCCATAAGATATTGAGATTCATAGATGTTTTTTGATAAAATTTTGTTAAAAATCATATAAACATTTCAAAAAATTAAAAAATATTTTTGTTTTTATTACTTAAAAGCATCATCATATCATATCGGAATCAAAAATCTAAAAATAGAATAAAATATTTAAATACAGTACTCTTGCTAACTCAGACTAATAGAAAGTGAAGCTTGTCTGAGTTTTTGAAAGTTTAACTTGTTAAGGTGTTTTCTCTGATAATATGGAAAATGAGAATGTAGATATGCAGTACAGTAATTTATTACCATCAGTTCTATACACAAGTTTTACTAAGCTGAAATTACACTTCTAAATTTATTACTACAGGAAATAAGCTAAAAAATTTTTATGACAGTACAGTATACAACAATGTACAGTCTTTAATATCTTACTGCCTACAGTATGGTGCGATATTACTGTAGGCAGTTCTAGATAGGATTTACTGTATATTTAAATACAGTAAATCCTACAGTACTTGAAAACAACTTTTTAAAAGAGGCTAACATGTTTATATCAGCCTCTTTTTTCTGGAGATCTGCTGCTACTTATATTTTAAGTATTCTTGACAAAATGTGCATTTCTCTAAAAGTTAATTTTTTATTTACATTTCAAATAACTAATCCCTCATAGCATGAAGTACCAGTAAACAAAATTTTGTTCCAATCCACCAAACACCTTTCCAA